ATTTCTAGTTCTCCTCTATCTTTTTAACTGCTGTGTTCTTACTATTATTATTTTTACTGTGTTTATAATTACTGTTGTCCTTGTTGTTCTTTTTATCTTTATTCTTATTATGTTTGTTATTTACTTCCTAACTTTTGTATTTATTCTTCTAGAGATTAAGCTCTGCTTTTAAACATTCTTTACTATACACAACAAGCAGATATATATATTGTCCTAGATCTTTGTTATCCTGCAAAATGTTCTATTTGCAGACAAAGTGCTAGAAGATTTAATCTGCTGTTTAGGAATTGCTTTTAAGCGCACGTGTTCTAGCAGTTATGTTAGAAACAATTCTCTTAATCTATGGTAGTTCTTTTCCTAATGCTTAAGCTTAATCTGCTTCTTTAAAGTATTGCTGTTGTATATCTGCTAACTTTAACTTGCCCTATGTATAACGTAGAGCTTAAAGTCTTAAGCGCAGTAATCTAAGAAGCTCTGTTAAAGCACCTAACTTCTTTTTTTTATCGTTGTTGTTGTCGTTGTTGTAGAAGGCGTGATCTTTGGTAGCCTAATCTTTAGACGCTTGAAAGGTGCGTAGAGCATCCTGCAGCTTAGTCACATCTCTACGTTGGTGGAATTGAAGCCAGTCACCTAGGTTTAGGTCTATAGAAGCATCTTTGTCTTAAGAAAGGGACATGTTTTAAAGGAATGCAAAGAGATAAGTGTTATTGCACCTAATTTGTTAACTAAAAGCAGCTTGTAAAAGGTCCTCTTAAAGCTGTAATGTCTAATATTAAGCTTTAAACATTGTATTTGTGTGGCTTATAATCTAATTGCAAAAAGCAGAAGAGAAAAGAGCTAAGATAAAAGTTAGTTAAATAGATACATAAATAGTAAATAACGCTAGCAACTTACAATTTTTATCTAACCTTGCACCTACACTAACTTAAAGTAAATAAAGACAGAGCACTTCTTAAAAGCTAGCTGCAATGCATACTTTGTGCTATATCTTATTAAATTTTTAATATAAAAGCTAGAAAATAAAGTTGTCTAGTTTCTTCTCTTTCTATAGTAACTTAATATAGTTAACATTGCTAAGCGCTAGTATATTTAAGAACTTGTTTACTTTTGTATAACTAGCTTTAAATGCATTATCTTATATACTACACACAATAATAAGACAACTAAGGCATATAAGCGGAAATAGTATAAAGAAAGCAGAAAACTTAAAACTAGACTAAATTAAGTAAGCCTTAATTTTAAGCAAAAACATTTTAACTTACTATTTACTTTTAACATAAAGTAAATTCTTAAGCTTGTTCCTCTAGATTATAATAGTTAATGCATGCTTTAGCCTTTTAGTATCTGCTAGATTTTGCATTATAGAGAGTAGAACATCTCTGTAGTAAACATTTTTAAGAGTACTGTAACAGCACAGGCAAGACAATAGGTCTGAATGCGGTGGGAATCCACTCAGAGGCATGTGGGAGTGCGTGGGGACTCTGAACCTGGGAATACCATTAACACCTATAGGCCTTGTACAAAAGGATATTAGAAAACTACTAAGCTAGCTACAGGGGCGAGGTGCGACTAAATACATGAGGGAATAGGGGTAACAGCAGGGGTCGGGGCCAGGTTGAGGTCAGGGCCGATACGAGGGCCTTCTAGAGGTTCTGGGCGACTCGAGATAGAACGATTCATGAGGATCGTTACAAGTACTAGGCTAGAAGCTACCTATTGCTAAAAGGAGAACATTAGCATAAAATGTAATTTATATTTTTATATTAATTCTTAATTTAGCTGCACGCTTTTAAAGAGTTTAAAGAATAATAATAGCATTTTTAGCTATTACTTTTAGCTTCTTAAATGTAATTTTCTTTAAAAAGCTATATTTTACTACTAGGTTAGACTAAATCTACTTTTAAAAAGTTAAGTAATAAAGATCTTAATATTTATTAGCGTATAGTACTTACTTTAGAGATTTTAAAAACACTAATTAATAAAAAAGGTGGTTTAGTGTTATAGTTATAAAATTAAAGCTTTTTGTCTGTACGTAAGTACGGCTGAATTAGGTTGCCTGAAACGTTGGCTATCTAGCCTGTGCGTTAGGGGCTATGTGTACTTAAAAGCCCTCTTTCTTTATACAAAGAAAAAGGGCAGTAGTTAATAATAAAAAGATCTTTACTTACTTACCTTTTAGTACGCCTTTTAGGCATATGTTTGTTTAATTAAGCCTAAGTTAACTAATACTAATTAGTTTATTAATAGACTATTTACTATGTGCGTAGCTACGCAAAGGATATTATCCTTAATAGACAGATTTATAAGGATTAATAAAACTGCTACTATATAAACAGCTTACTCCTACTGTGTGCGTAGCTACGCAGAGAGGGCTTAGATAAGCATTATACGCGCCCCTAGATTAACTAATTACATAAAGACAAGATTAGCAACCTGCTGTGTGCGTAGCTATGCAAAGAGGGCTTACTGCTAAGCCTTTGTGCGCCCTAGAGCCTTCTGTTAATACAGGCTGTGCAACTACTTGCCTACTGCGTGTGTAGCTACGCAGAGGAGACAATACAGGCTGCATAATTAGAAACCTACTGCGTGTGTAGCTACATAGAGAAGGCTCCTCATCGGCAGCCCGCCTCGCCAACGCAACTAGCCCCCCCCTCTCTCTCTCCTAACAGCTGTACAAACAAGCAACTAGCCCCCGCCCTAGAGCTAACCTGCTACTCTGCACAACAGCTTGCTTTTTAAGAGCTACTGTACAGTTAACTACTACCACCTAGACAACTGCTGTACAAACGCAACCAGCACCCACCCCCCCCCCCCTGTTACGGCCAACAGACAGACCGTAATGACCTAATTAGCTGTCCCACACAGCCTAAACGACGTCGGATGGAAGACGCTTAACCCCGCGCTGAACGAATCACGTGACAGGACGGATGAGGAATGGCTCCGGCTTTTAGACAAAAGCCTGGCGGAATGTATCATCTAATAGAAACTGCAGGTTTGCAGGTTTGCAGGCCATGCAGGCCACACCAGCATGCAAGCATGCAAACATGCAGAACATGCAACCCCATGTATATAGTCTTAATCACAACCACAGTTAGAAGGTTGTGATTACTATTTAGTCTTTACCTACCTAATAGACTAAGAGGCATTAAAACCTTTATAAAGAGGACATTGCCGCCTTGTATATCTTGCACTATACTAAATTTAATCAGCCGACGCACGGTCTCGCCTGACGCACGGAATTTGCCGTACAGCGGCACCGCGACTTGAAGCTCCAGGGCAACATATAAATAGAATATAGGCCTAGTTTTTTAGTAGATTAGGAAGCTAATTACAGTAATTAATTTAAGGCTACTAGCTAGTCGCAGAAGCGTGCAGGAAGCTTAATAGCTCTGCTTCTGCAATTTTGCTTGCATAGCAGCTCTACCACTTTAACAATTAATTAATCCTTAACTACTTGCTCTAGCCTACTAGCTATAGGCTGTGTAGTCTTCCTAGCCTTTTTAGAAGTTTTAATGTTGCTTTAGAGTTAGCAGTTAGCCTTTTTAGCCAGTTGCTTTTCTTCTTTCTAAAGCCTTTTTTTTTAGCCTTTTGTAGTTAAGCGTCCTTAGTAGCTGCCTTTATATGCTTTCTTTTTTTAGCTATATAAGCTTTCTTACGCTTCTTAGCCTTTTTACGCCTAGTTTTTTTATCTTTTTATTAACATAAAATCTTTACAGTAGCTTCCTTCTTAGCTTATTAATTACATGCTTGTTAAACCTTCCTAGGACTATAGTGTTACAATCCTTGCTTCGTGGAAGCACTCGGGTCTTATGACGTTCCTAGGGGGGAAGTAGGACGGAGGATAGGGGCTAATCTAGTAGGGTGTACAGTCCTACGTACAGGCTAATAGGCTAATAGAGGAGGGTAGAGTGACTAAATTGTAGTTTGCCCTTAATGCAGCAGTAGAGAGGCTAGGTTAAACAGTCCTGTTAGACAGAATTAGAGGTATATATAGTGTAAGAT